GAGCGCATCTGCAGCGCTGGCGAATCCATCGCGGCCTCCGTCGTCTCGGGCGCGCGATGGTGAAGGCCGCCCCGGAGTTGACAGGACGGTTCGACGGGGACGCGACAAAGGATGCGGAGCCCTGTGTCGCAGGTCGCGCCCAGCACCGAGCCCAAGCCAAACCCGACGGCCGACGTGGACGAGGAGGAGGAGGAGGAGGAGGAGGTCAGGAGCGAGGAGGAGCTGGACATCCAGAAGGACATCGACATCCCTGAGCGGCATGACGGGCACCAGCAGCACGACCTGGCGGCTCAGGACCACCAGTCGCAAACCGCGGAGGAGCCCAGCGGTGGGCTTCAGCGACTGGTCTCGGCGGAGACGGGTCCCCTCCTCGATGGTCCCAGGAAGGCCTGGGCGGCTGCAACTGCCTCCGACCGCGTCGACGGCATGGGTGACAAGCCGAGGGCGGCCCCCGATTTTGGTGTAAGCTCTGGCCTTCGCGCTGAAGTCCCAGCAGGCAGCCGAGGAAGCCTCGGCCGGGGAAACGGCGCACGGCCCCCGCCGGCGGAGGTGGGCAGGCATCGGGGGCGAGGCCGAGGCGGGCGTGGAGGCCCCCCCGTGCAGCCTCGGCATCGAGGCAGGCGGAGGCAGAGCTGCGATCGTACCATGGCTCGCCTTCGCCTCACCCTTCACTTCCGCGGCTGGATCGGCGACAGGGCCTGCCTGTGCTGGCCGCCACGGGCGCCAGCCTCTGCCAACGCAGCTGCCTCGCAGCCCCTTTTGAGTGCGCGTGGCCACTCCAGCTGAGCTAGAGGCCGAACCACAGCTCCGAGCTGTCTGCTGTGAATACTCTCCGAGTCGAACATTATGCCGAGCTGCAGGTCAGTTGCCTCTCTCACGCTGCGGCAATGGCTGCAGCTGGTGTACACGGAGGTCTTCTCGGATATCCAAAGGCTGTGGCGTCTCTGAGCTGTGCTGCTCTGGCGAGTTGCTTCTCTCACGCTGCGGTGGGTGGCGTCGGTCGATGTGGCAAGCGCAATGATCTGCCGACCTTTCGGTGTATGGAAGAGGCTGTCGTCGCCGTCGCCGCTGTCGTCGTCAGTACCAAGGAAATTGAGGAACTAGGGAAGTTGATGTCGCAGTCAAGTCGCAGGGAAGCCCCTTCCCCTTGTCCCATCCCTGCTGGGGGGGAAGGAGACTGGAGGAGGGGGGGGGGGAGGGGGGGGGTCACAAGACAGAATACGGCCCCCCCCCCCGTGTCCAGGCGGGTCCCGGGGGGGGTCGCCCGCAGCGGTCCCTGGGGAGGTCCCCCCTTCAGTCGGGGGCGCGCAAACATGGATTAGCGATCCGTGGAGTTGGCGCGCGGTCGCCAAATCCATGGATCGGGGGAGGTGCCCTCGCCAAAATGCGGCCGGTGCTGCCTCGCTCGGCGGCGGAAATCCGCGATTTCCCATGGAAACGGGACCCATCGCTGATCCACGTCCCCTTGATCCATGTTCGCGATCGCCTGATCCAGGGTCGGCGGCAGCGGGCCAGGCGGCCCAGGCCCTAACGGGCGGGTCGGGCGGGCGGACCCTGCCGGGCGGGTCGGGGCGGGTGGGCTGTGCAGCAGTGGCCCGACCACGGGAGCCCTCCACAGGAGACCCAGCCCTGAGACCCCGGGGCGTCCACTGGTGTCTGGCGCGGGCACACGGCGCGCCCTCCCTCGCAGAGCAGCCCCGAAGCCCAGGGGGAGCCCAGGGCCCCCATGGAGGCAGGCAGGGCGCCTCTTGGCACGGGCCACGGCTGTGGCGGGCGGGCTGGGCGGGACGTGCGGGCGGGCGGGCGGGCCTCCACGTGGGCGGGCGGGCGGACCCTCGCGGGCGGGTCGGGCTTGTGGGCCCCCCCGCGGGGGCAGGCCGGGCGGCCGGGCCCCTCCCGGGGGGGCCCTCCGGACGGGCGAGTCGGGCGGGCGGGGCCACGCAGCGGGCTTCGCAGAGTGCGGAGGAGCCTCGGGCGAGAGCACGAGGCCTGGGATGACGGGCACGGCCACCGGGGCCGTCGGTGGAGCGCGCTGTGGGACCACGAAGCGCGCGAGGGGCGTGCGAAGCTGCAGGGATAAAGGGCATGCGGTCGCTACCACTGGAACCTTCGGCGGAGCTCCCTGGGGGGCCACGAGGCGTGTGAGCGGTGCGGCAAAACTGGGAGAAGTACCGCCTGCGGCCGCTGCTATGGGGGCCTTCGGTGGAGCTCTCTTTGGGGCCACGGACTGTGCGAGGGGTGTGCGAATTGTGGGGGGGATTACCGCATGCGGCCGCTGTCACCTGAGCCATCGGTGGAGCTCCTTATTTGGCCACGGAACGTGTAAGGGGTGCGGCGAAACTGTAGGGGGTACCACATGCGGCCACTGCCACTTGGGTCTTCGGTGAAACTCCTCATGAGGGTACGAAACGCGCAAGCGTGTAAGCGGTGTGGCGAATCGGTGATTCAGATAATGATGGTGGTAACAACGATGAAGGTGATGTTGTGAAGGGGATGATGATGCTGACGATGATGATGAGGAGGAGGAGGAGGATGGTGGTGACGATGAGGATGGTGCTGGTGAACAGGATAACGGTTCGGAGGCGAGGAAGGAGGAAACGCGAGGGGCACTGCTGACTCAAAACGATGTTTGAGCAACCAACAAAAAATTGGCGACGGGTCCGACCCTATGCAGCTGCGAGTAGCGCAAGGCGCGGCTCTCTCCACGTGAGCAGCGCTCCGCGAAACAGATAAGATTGGGGCGGCGCGGAGGAGGCGGCGGACCAGGCGCGCCGAGGCGAGCTGAGCTTCCTACAGCGCGCGATCCAACTGAGGGGTGCGACGACATGAGTTCGGGGCCACACTCGTGGGCTCACACTGAGACCCGAGATGGAGCTCCCCATAGGGCCACGATCCTCGTGAGGGGTGTGCCGAAGTGTGCTGCGCGGCCATGCGGGATCTCTCACTGGGTCCGTAAGTGAAGCTTCCTATTGGGCCACGATCCTTGTGAGGGGTGTGTCGCAATGGGCGGCCCAGTCATGCGAACTGGCACACTGGAACCATAGGTGGAACTCCATATGGGAGTACGGTACTCGCGAAGGCCACATGAGGACCCTCCCACTATGGTCGCAGGTGGAGATGCGTGCAGGTGCACGGTCCTCACGAATTGTCTGCCGAAACTGGCGTGGCGCAGCTGTGCAGACTTCCCCACTGAGGCAGCATACGGGGACACGGCCCTCGCGAGGAGTGCCGAATTGGGTGAGGGAGCCTCCACGCGCCTGCGCCAAATGAGACCGCAAGTGGGGCTCACTGCGTGGCCACGGTCCCCGTAACGAGCGTCCTGGAATATGCGCAGTGCCGCCATACGCCTGAGCCCAATGAAACCGCGGGTGGGGCGCCCTATGGGGAGCACGACCCTCGTGAGAGGCGTACTGAAGCGGAGGCGGTGCCGCCACGTGCCCGCGCCCGCTGAAAGCGCAGGTTGGATCCCCTACGGGGTAAAGGTCCTCGAGAGGGGTGTGCCGAGATGGGCGCGGTGCGGCCATGCGCCTGCGCCACAGAAAACATCGGCGGGCGGAGCTCCCCGTGCGGCCATGGTCCTCGCGAGGGGCGTGTCGGGACTGGCGCGGTGCCGCCACGCGTCTGCGCCCGCGCGGGCCGCACGTGGGGCTCCCCGTGGGGCAACGATCCTCGCGAAGGGTGTGCCAGAATATACGCGGTGCCGCCCTGCGTCTGCGCCCGTGGAGGCCGCATGTGGGAGCTCACTATCAGGCAGCGAACCTTTTGTGGGGCGCGTGTCCAAATTGGCGCGGCGCCGCCATGCGCCGACGCCCATTGAGACCGTAGGTGGAATTCCCTCAAGGTTGGGTCGGGCACGTCCTCGGACGAGAAATCCGCCGAGCCAGCGTGTGAGCTTCAAAGACCCTCAGAACAGCCTGAGCCTCAATTCCTACGCTTTTTCAGCTCTACTGGGGGGCGGGAACCGGGGTGGCTCTGCTGGGGTAAGGGGGAGGGGGGGGTCGATGTAATTCCCGGGGCGGAATCGGAGCTCCAGCTCACTCCAGGACGGACCCCTCGCCCAGGAGGGCCCCAACATGGGCTAAGAGGGCCCCGAATCTCCGAACGATCGCCACAAGACACCCAAGATTCCCCCAAGACGGCTCCAGAAGCCTCCAAGATGCCCTCAGAAGCCCTGAAAAAGGCCTCCCAAAGAGGGCCCAAAGAAGCAAAATGTGTCCCAATCCCTTGGGGAATCGTACAATGTTAGCACGTTCGCCTCTTGGGCCTTCAGAGCGTCGCAGACGCCCCAAGAGAGTCCCAAAACGGCCCAAGAAGCCGCCAAGAGAGCTCCAAGACGGCCCAAGAAGGTCCCAAAATGGCCCGGGAGGCCCCCGGAAAGGCCCAAGAGGGCCCCAGGACAGGCCCAAGAGGCGCCTGAGAGGGCGCCAAGACGGCGGAAGAAGTGCCGAAGACGGCCCTAGAAGCCCCCAGCAAGCCCCCACAGGCCCCCGAGAGGTTTGAAGAGGCCCCAAGACGCTTCCAACTGGCCCCGAAGAGGCCCCCTGAAGCCCCCTAAAGGCCCCCAAGAGTTTCAACAAATGCATCCAAAACGCCTTCTAGAGGCCTCCAAGCTGCCTCCAAGGCTCCCCACGAGAAGCCCAGAACGGGCCCCAATGCTACCATAACGCTTACGTCTGAACACAAGCGTTGCAATACAAAAGGCTCTTCCACGCTTTCACAGATTCTCCCGTCTTCGGTGCCCTTCACATCCATGATCTCACAAGGGCCAGCAGAGGACCGCGCGAAGACCCCAAAGACCCTAAAAACACGATGTTTCCCAGCAGAGACCGATGATGCACAAGGCTCCACAAAAAACTGTGACGCTGACAGCTCGAGCACAAAGCTTTTCAGAGAGTGCGCCAAATCAGCGAGGTGTCAACCCAAAGAGGGCTAACACCTGGCCCCAAAGAGGCTTTCCAACAACCGCAGAACATCTCCAACAACCGCCAAAAATCTCCTCA